TGAATATGATCTTAGTAACTTCCTAACATATAACGGAACTTTTTTGCATACCGTTATACAAATGAAAAGCTAATTCGGTTAATTTATTTTCAGAAACGTAGTTTTGCTATGCAGTGGCTTAATTATGTGAGCACAAGTGTATATATGTACAGGGTGTTTCAATAGGGCACGACAAAAGTAGACATCATTCAAATATATACGATCCAACGAGTCGAAATTATTAAAATTTACTATCGAAATTCGGAGTCAGTGGCCTCAACTTTAAGACCGGGGTTTTCAATAAGAGCGCTGCAAAAGTTTTTTTTTTAATAAAACAAAAACTGTTATCAATGAAATTATTTATTCCTGTCGTGCGATTTGACGTTGTTACACTATTTCCTGTGGGGCTAGTCTACGGTTTATGCTAACAAGACATCGACGATTGATGAATTTCTTATAATAGTCGAAATATTACCACCCATCTTGAGACCCAGCATTGCAAGAGCTGCCATGGGTGACATCATTGGCCCAAATTTCTTCAAAAATGATGCCGATGAGAACGTAACCTTCAATGGCGACAGTTATCGCGCCATCATAACCGAATTGAAGCACGTATTATCGGCAACATTTGGTTTTAACAAGACGGCGCCACATCCCACACATCACATCAATCAACGGGTTTATTGAGAGAACACTTCGGTGAGCGGATAATTTCCCGTTTTGGGTCGGTCGAATGGCCAAAATCATGTGATATCACACCGTTATACTTTTTCGTGTGGGGATATGTAACCTCTAAAGCCTAAGTTCGAAAAATAAATGCCAAAGAACGATATTTTGAATGATAATAAACAGTCCCCATTAAATTTGAAGTTTCTGTGTTTTTTTTTTTTTCTTTAAAAAGGAGGTAAGAGGATTACCCGTTAGCTATGCACAGAGAAATAACCCACTTATTGATGAAAATATTTGAGGTAAAATTTTCTTTCTTTCTAATAAAGGTCATAGTTTTATTTTTCGCCTGAGTGTTTGTGTTGTCCGGCTTAATGTGTAAGGGAACCAAATCCGAACAAGTAGCGAAAGAATTGTAAATGTTTTTCTATTGTACCGCTAGATTTTTTTGCTGTGTAAGTTGCTTATAAGAAACTTTGCGCGTTTAGGTCACACATATATTAAAATGAGTAATGCACGAAAATAGTTGTGTAATGAGGACATACAACAGATTATGAAGATGGACTGGGACAAATTTTCGGACGAAGAGTATAATGAAGATGATGAAGACCTTTAGGAGACGAATTTAGAAGATCTTTTAGAAAATTGGGAGGAAATATAAATCGATTTACTAAAAATTACTGAAAACCAAGAAATTTCTGAAGAATCAGAAAATATGGTGCAACTTAATTATTGAAAACGTTGATGTATGCCAAGGAAATGAAGAAAAAGACTAATCGACTTTCAAGACTTTACTTGGTCAAGAATCAGAAGAAAACATTAACAAAGTAAATACGCCAATTCAATATTTCAACACTTTTTTGATGACGATTCAATCAAATTGATTGTGGAACAGACCAATATGTATTCTCTCTAGGAGTCCGACAGTGAACTCAATTGCTCAAATGATATGTAAGTTTAGAGGTATGCAAATGCAATAAATAAAAAATTTCGGTTATCAGGTTAATTGCATATTTTAGGAAGATCATCCTTCAAGCTAAGCCTCACAAATGGGGACTAAAAATATTCACGCGTGCAGGCTCGTCCAGAATTATTTGACTTTGACAAAAGTCAGTAAACCTTCTTGTGGCTCTAAAAAAAAATTGGAATAATGGGAATGCATCGGCACTGTCCGAAAAAGTCGAATGGGAAAGTATGAACTAAAGCTTGAGTCAGATTTGAAAATGCTTGGCAGGGGTTCCTTTGAAATAAAATGTGAAGCTAATCCAGCCAGTGCACCGCTGGATAATAATCCAGTTATTGTCCACATTTGTGGGAGATGAACCAATCGAGACATGAGACACGAGCGTTGGAATGGGAAAGAAAAAAAATTATTGAAGTTCCGAGACCAGCTATTGTTTCAAAATATAATAAACACATGAGAGGAGTTGATCTTGCCGACATGCATATGGAGCAGCATAAAGTGAAGCATCGCTCCAATAAGTGGTACATGAAAATATTTCACTGTGTTGGAGACATCTCAAAATCGTTAATCCACTTATAAAATTAAAGATGGATATCACAACTGAGCTCTTATGCGTTACACCGGTGTTTTTCAATTCTACTCAAAATAAGAGAGCCCTAGCGTTATTCAAAATGTAGAAACCGATAMAACTCCGGATTCACTTTCTTTCATAGAAGTGTCTAGTTCGAATCGCCGTCATGTTGTTGAAGAACACTTAAAACACAGAACAAACAGATATGTATTATATATGATAAATAAGGACAAATCCAATGTATTTATACTTTTCTCTTTGCATGTATTTATAAAACTCAAATACTGCCCTAAACGCAACTTTCAATATCCTTTGACTGGATCACGCTACAGAGCTAAAACTTTTCTTGGCAGTTAATGAGACATTTTAAGTAAAAAAATCAATAAAAATTTTTCTGGTAGTTGGTTTAGGTGCGATCCTGAAAGGGTGAAAAGTTTATAGATTGCTAAAATCAGTGATAATGACAAAGTATGAATTTTTATTGATATTATTATAGATAATTTATGTCGGTGATTTCAAAATTCTTGAGATGTTACGGTTAGGTCAATTTTTCTATTGTCTTTTCATTTCGCTGTTTGATTGGAAAATCAACAAAATTTGATCTTTAAAGAAGATATGTCTGTCAGATAATGTTGATGAAGTTTCAATAATTTGAGAAGAATTTTTTGCTTCTCCTGAACATTTTCCATTTTTCGAATTGTGACGCTAACGGTTTTGAGAAAGATCTGGTTTATTTTCTTATCTAACGTATTTATTAAGAGGTTGTCAGAGGCACGAAAAAATTTTCAGTATTGTTTTTTTTTTCTTTCTATTAAATCCCATTATTTTACTAAAGTAGTAATATGACATTATTATAGAATGTGTTAACGTAAAGTCATGAAAATTTCAAAAAAAAAAAGTTTATTTCCAAAGTTATAGTTGTTTCGTGTTGACCCTGTTTCAAAAAAAATGTACTTGCGGTGACAACCATGAGTCCTTAGAGATTCATCTAAAATAAATCGGACAAAAAAAAATTAGTTTTGTAAATAGATAATCCTGGGCCTGATCGAAAGTTTTTTTTTTGTTTCATTAACAAAATGGCGGCCTCAGAAATTGTTTCCTAAATTTTTGGGAAAAACTCAACAGTTAAGTCTTTGTAAATCGAAATTTTTGAAAAAATCAAAATCCTTCGATAAAAAAAAAAAGCTGTATAAATTTAATTAAGATCTACTGAGCGGTTTTCGAGTTACAGTTGTCATCAGTTCAAAAATCATAGTTTTGAGAAACACGCGTTTATAGTTTCACACTAGCGCTTTGAAGTGCCCGAGTTCTCTTCGTTATTTGTCAAATAACTCAAAAACTAATTATCGCATCAACGTGAAATACGCAGATAATATTTTGAAGATATTACACTTAACGAAAATGAAAAAAAAATTATTTTTGGAAAATTCTGACTACCCCTAACTCCTTAAGCCTTTATCCCTGAAACAATGTTACAATTCCGGAAAAATCTACAAGTTATTTTTCTTTATGTTTAAGTATTGTAAAGGTACTTACCGGTCAAAGTACTCACGATTCCTGATTTGTTGATTTTCATCTCTGTTAAAACGACGACTTTCTATAAGTATATAATACTTATAACTTTAATAGTTCTGCTTAAGTTATAGGTCTATAATATGTCACTTATACATACCGATTTTCTGTGGTTCCAGTAAATCTCTACTCTGTCCTACACTGTTGTTATCCAAATTTTGCACCGCAACATCTTTTCTACGCCAGCTTGTAGTGTAATTCGTAGAATCCTTATTAGTTTTCTCCAACTGAATGTCTCCAATCATATCGTTGATTTCACCTTGATCAAGTTCTTGTTTTAACTGCTGCTGACGACGAGCTTCGGTCATTCTTTCTTCTATCTCCAATTCACGAGTTGCTGTATCTACTGGCTTTGCAGAACCAAAGACCTTTTGAGATGTAACACCACCTTGCTTGAATTTTCTTTCATTTTCATCTATGCTTTCTATGTCTCTATCTAAATCTTTGTTCACAACTGGCAGAGGTAATGTGCGCGGCTTCAAATTAAGTTTAGGTCTTTCAAATTCTTGGTCATCGCTTTTAAATTTTATTGAAATGCCTCTCTCGGCATCTCTATTTCTGAATTTCGACTCAAGACTTTGGTTTGTATTAGTTCTGATTCCAGACCGCCAAGAGCTATTAGATTTATTTTCGTCTGGTTCATACTTTCTTTCTCGATTAAAGTGCTTACCATAACCATCATTGGAATTATTAGTATTGTTGTCTCGACGCCAATTGGTTGATTCTCTATTTTCTAAACTGTTGTTGAAACCATCAAAGCCACGGCGATTTCCTCTTTGTCTAAAACCTTGGTTATCACTCTCATTTGAAAGTTCTATTCTAATTCTTCTGCTTTTAATAGATGGGTCTGGCAAACTTAGAGTATTGATTAAGTCTTCTCTATTCTCAAACTCAACATAACCAAATCCTCTTACTCGACCTGTTTCGCCTTCCTCACGAGGTAAACGCAAAGATAATATTGGTGTTGCTCCGAAAAAYTCTTGTAAATCTTCTTCCTTTGCATCAAAAGGAAGGTTAGTTAAATATGCAATATATGGAGGGCTATGTGGAACGGAATCATCATCAAATATACGATTTGCTCTAGGGGCAGTCGGTAATTGAAAAACTAGAGGCATAGTATTAACTCCATCGTCACTCTCTTCACCCTCAAGGTTCCTTACTTTTTTAGCTACTTGTGTGATTCCCACGGGTACATCACCATTTGCCAGAAAAGACTGCAATGATATTACGGTGCCCTTCTTCTTTCCTTTTTTCCCTTAAAAAATATTACATTGATTATTATTTGTGTTCATCAAAACTTTTTAAATATTGCAAAAAACAAAAAAAAAAAAAAAAAATAACGATAACTTCTTTTAAAATATTCTTCAAAGAGGCATAACATAAACTATTTTACTTATTATCCAGCTGTAATTATCTGAGGAATAACATCAAAATACAAACACTGCGAGACACCAAGTTACCACAATTTCATCAGTCTAATACTATGTTCGGACCGACAATGAAAACATGTTGCAGCTATATGGTGTTTGCTATTTTTATTATTTTTAGCCAAGAAGTGTGAATTTTTTTTTTTTTTTTTTGTACTATCAGGTTAGCACATTCATTTTGAATTGCATTTATCTTCGAACTTTGAATAGATATTAACACCGAATTCTTTGTGTTGCTTAAGCGCTCTATTTACTTTAATATGTCTTAAGGAATATCGTTATCGGTTAAAGAGAAAGCAATTATCGACATAATTGAAATATTTATCAAAAATTAAGAAAAGTCGCTATGGGTTAAAGTGATAACAATTGTCGAAATAATTGAAATATGTATAAAAAAAAAAGTTGGCAGAAGTCGAAATTTATACAATTTCATCAGTCTAAAACGATTGATAGCAATTTTTTTTTTTTTTTTGTTATTAACTTGCAGCTGCCTGGTTTTAGTTGTTTTTATTCTTTTTAGCCAAGAAAATGCATTATTATTATTTTTTCGTCATCATGTTAGCACATGCATTTTGAATTGCATTTATCTGCGGAGTTTAAATACGTTTCTTTGTGTTGCTTAAGGGGGCAGTCTGCTTTAGAGGCTTCAAAAAATAGATTTTTTTTTTTTTTTTTGAAGGATAGAAATAATTGATTAACGCGAATTTCTAGAGTTTATAGTTATAAATTTAAACATCATTTAAATACATGTGCAAATTTGCCTTGCATGTGCATTTATCGGACGGCGGGTAGGATGCAGGTCGCAATTTCTATCGAAAACAACAAAAAAAATCGAAGAGATTCATATTTTTTAATAATTTATCTTCTAATTAAACTATAAAACATCCATAAAAAAGTGTAAAGTTTACAAATTTTTTTAAAAACTGAAAAAAGTGGTTTTTGACCAATAAAATTGTACTCTATGTTGTTTAAAAATAAGTTCAAACATTACTTTTCTTAGTTTTTTTTTAGTTTAAATAGAAGATAAATTAATGCCAAATATACTAAACTTTGCCCCAATTCCATAAGACAAATTGTTTTTTTTTCTATCCTGCCCGCCAATTAAGGAAAATCGTACAAATGAAAAACATAGAAATCGCGCATCAAGATTTCGCTTTTTGCCCATGCGCTAATATACCTGCTAGACGCTCTGTCTCTATTTCCCTTCTAGCTTCGACTATATTTCGAATTCCTATCTAACTTCGGGAACATATTCTTAGATAATTTTTAAAGAGATTTCAACAAATTTCGATTGTCATGCCCGCCGTTCGACAAATGCACATTCGAGATGCATCGGGCAATTGCTTCCCAAAGGCAGAATATCAAAAACATATTACTATAAGCCCTAGAAACYAGGAAGATTAAAGCGAAAATCACTTATTTCTATTTGCTTTAATATCTCTTAAAGAAAATCACTATCGGTTAATGAGGAAGCAATAATCGAAATAATTGAAATATGTATCGAAAGATTAAGATAAATCGCTATTGCTTAAAGAGAAAACAATTGTCGAAATAATATGTTATATAATCTTCTTATGTAAGAAGTCGGATTACGGTCAAAAAATAAAGGCGGTARCAATAAAGTGATTTCAGATGTGTACAAGAAAGAAGTTTTGAGGAAGGCATTCACTCCTTAACTATGCTTGAAGACGGACGAAGGCACGGTAACATTTTCCATAAGAAGGCCCGAGGGATGCGCTGTGTACCATTTTCAGATTACACGAAATTTTATTTGGAAGGGTTGATTATTTCCATGATCTAGTGCGGAGCTRTCTTTTGATATGGTAGATGCGTACCAACTGCAATTTTTTAAAACCCATCCATATTGGTTTCGCCAAAATGGTATAAAAACATCGTGTAAACTGCGTTATCCATTTCAAAAACTTGTATGGATCTTTGAACAATACGATGAAGCACCGATTCACACAGACCTGGTGTTTAAGTCTGGGATTGAAGGAAAAAACCTCGATTAAATGCGGTGCCTTTCTTACGCTCTACGCAATAAAATAGGTAAATTAGTTGAAGGTATCAAAATAAATATCATCAATTTCCTTAAATTATTATGAAAAATTGTATGATTTACTACCCAATCTTTGAGATATTCCTCAACAAGGCGGGATCGACTCATCACTAAAATGACATACAAATATTTAAATTACTTAATAAATAGGTTTAAAAAAAGTTCTTAGTAAAAAATGTTAACGAATATTAAAAAAAGTGATATATGCTAACATAGTGACCTAATTTGTATTGCTATTTTTCTGTTGATTTCGGAAAAAAAATTGTTAAAGAAATCTATTACATCATAAATGAACAGTAGTAACAATAAGTCTTTCAGTAGCAACTCAGGAGTATACGGAGGATGACTCATCAAACCGATGTCTTGATTGCTGAAAAATGCATTTTTTTTTCAGTGTGGTTGTTGTTTTAACGGTTATCTAATCCCCGTTGATCTGGTAAGGGTCATTTGCGTTGTCGTCGAGGTCATCTAACGAGAGGTGTGCTGTTTCGACGGGGTCGGACCACAGGGAGGAGCGCGTTAAATGAGTGGGGTTTGTGCAAAGAGGTGACCAGTGTCATGCGATAACTCATTGCATGCAGGACATACATTAGCTATGTCAGGGTCTATGTCTATTCTGGAGAAGTAGGAGTTTATCCAGAACGAAGTTGCGCAAGGGTCATTCACGTTTCTCGCGGCAACTCGAGCTCCTCGTCTGCTATGGGTGGTGGTTTGTCTCCAAGTACGCCATTTACGGCAAGGGAGTTGGTGAAGGTGTTGATGGCTCCACTGTGAATAGCGGTCAGTACTTGTCCAAAGTCTGTTGCGTCCGAGGTCTTGTCGGCGTATTGTACGATGTCGTCGACGTGGTCAAGGMATGACATCTTGATGCTCCTAGGAGGCGGTTCCGCTCTAAGCAAATAACTGCAAACGTGATTTTTACGAAAACGTTCATTATGCCCCTTAACTGAGAGCATAAGCGTCTTACTATATAGGTGTTCGATGGGAGACATCAAGAGGCATCCCGTCGTGGTCCGGAGTGCAGTATTCTGACAGGTCTGAAGTTTCCTCATCTGCGTGCCACTACATCCAGGCGACCATATTGGTGCTGCGTAGTTTAGGACCGGCCGATTGCCCTGTAAGTTGCCAACAACGTTTCTTTATCACTCCCCCATGTGYTGCCGGCTAGCAACTTGAGGATCTTGTTACGGCTCTGTACTTTGGCAATAATCGCGGTCGTATGGGGAGAGAAGGAACATAGGCTATCGAAAGTTACGCCTAAAATCTTAGGGTTATTGACAGTCGGAATTTTGACGCCATCGACTGCAATATTAAGCTCAAGTTTATACGCCTTCGTCCAGTTTGTGAATATGGTCGCCATGGATTTGGTGGGGAAAGCGTGAGGTTTTGTGCAGTGAAAAAACGAGAAAGGTAGTTGTTTACCTTCGAACGCATGCGGTCGATTACATTRCCCGACGTCAATATCGTTCAGTCATCTGCGAACGAGGTTATGGAAACCCCCTCTGGTGGATGTGGGAGTTTCGAGATGTAGAAGTTAAACAGTAGCGCGGAGAGAACATCCCCCTGCGGAACCCCCTGTTTAATTCTTCTCAGTTTAGATGTTTATCGAAAATAGTACAGATGAATGACGACCGTTCAGATAGTTCATGGTCCACCTCTTGAGCCCTGGAGGAAGTGTGGTTTTCTCAATGTCCTGCAGTAGCGTTGTGTGATTGACCGTGTCAAAAGCTGACAAGTCCAACGCTACGAGGATCGTTCTCTCGCAGGGTGGTTTCTGGTTGAGGCCACGGACTATCTGAGCGTTTATGACGCTAAGTGCTGTGGTGGTGCTGTGCACTTTACGGAATCCATGCTGGTGACTGGCTAGGCTCAGGTGGTGAATGAAAGTCGGGAGTAGCAAGGCGTCAAGTGTCTTCACTAATGGGGAGAGGGGAGTTATCGGGCGATAAGATCCCCTTTGTTGGCGGGTTTCCCAGGTTTCAGTAGTGGGACCACTCGTCCTATTTTCCACACATCGGGTATTTGAAGAGTAGTCAGTGACAGGTTGAGGACCTTGGTGAGATAACTTACTCCCGTCGAGCCTAGAATCTCCAAATTGATATCCCTTATTCGGGAATCCCCGGGATCGGCATGGCGTAAGGTGTCGCGCTCATTAGCTAAAACGGCTGCGTCGACTAGGAAATTGAGGCGGATTTCCGCTATTCATCCAGCCTGGATGAAGCAAGCGGTAGCTGCTGCAATCACCTTGCGGAATTGACGTTCACCAATGCATACGTCCATAGGAATGGGTAGAGCGTTGATGGTACTCTCGATAAATTCTGTGAAGCCGACCCAATTAACTTTCCTAAAGTTAATGAAGATGCGGTTGTCCACAGAAACGAAATCAGGAAACTTCTCTGATGCGAGAGCTAGCATAGGTCGCCAGGTTATGCTATTTATCAGACTACCCCTAGCGATGGTAATATCAGGCGAGCTACTAGAGGTACCCATAATTCTGGTGAGGGCTTCGTCATTCATTGTGCAGGTCAGAGCGGGAGCTATGTTGCCTGAGTGAGCTCCTGACTGTAGAGGTAATCTGTTGGCCACTTTGGTTAAGTACCGGTGCRGCGCGAAAGCTATGTGCAGATTGCACAGCCGTAGTCGCAGTATTGCGTAGGCAACATGGGGCCTTATCCATTGCATGTATTGCACCTGACCGAGATGGATTTTGGATGGAGCCTTTTTGCGTATACGCAGAAAAATTCCTCCGGGACAGGGTTGGACTCAATG